CACACACACTAAAAGTAAATCAACTGGGTAGATAATTTAAGCAATAATTTTTGTTAATTATTCATATTTCTATATTTTAGATAACATGTCGTGTGAATGGATTATCACGTGGTGATGCTGTACGTATTGTTTTACGAGGTTGGATATGGGCTGATACATTTTTTCGTTATAAAATATCTGACTTTGCAATCGTCAGTGAAGCGAATGCTAAATTTGAAGAAACTGCTTTCGGTATAAAAATTGACAGTAATTTAACTATACAACCATTAGCTATATCACAGAATTTTGTATTCGAAGGTATTAATGTATCATTATTTCGTGAAATTCCATTATGGCCATTTATACTTGGCAGTGTATTAGGTTTAGCACTATTAGCATTATTAATATTTACAATGTGGAGATGTGGTTTCTTTCATAGAAAACAAATCTATGATAATCATCTTCAAAACTATCCACATGATAATAATAATATTAATAACAATGGAACCAGTATTAATCCAATATTTATTGAACCGAGAAAAATTTAATAAGATCGATATAAAAAAACAGGATTAATAAAATCAAACAGTGCTATTCGTCTTTTGTATTCTCAATAGCCATGTGACATATATATATATATATATATATTCTGCTTTTATTTTTTACATGTACAGTATGTTCAGCATTTAAGAAAAATAGTTTAATTTCTATTTTCTTGGGTTCTTTCACTGTTATTCCTGGAAAATTTAATTGTGCTTCATTTTATCTATGCTTAAACTTATCTAGATTTAAACATTATATTATGTAACCAAAGAACATGAATATTTGTGATTTAATGTGTCCTGTTTACTTATGCAACAAACATTGTCGTATGTATATATTAACATGAGTGTAAGAGTTTATTTTTTAAAATAATATAAAATGTAAATTATGATTTATACCTTGAAAATTTATTTCATTATAATAAACTATAAAAATATCAATTTTCTTTTTATTCATTGTCTTCTTGCTTTTATTGTTATAATCATTATTACTTATTACATAGAAAAACATGATATTTGAAATATATCTTGTTTTTCTTTTTTAAGAAAAAAAATTATATATTCAATGTTGATAAATTTTTTATTTGTTTGTATTTAATAAATTGGAGTAATTCTTCTTTAAATTTGTTAACTATGGTCACAATAAATAAGTGTTTATACATAAACAAATATATTCTTATTTTTGTTGTTGTTGCTGTTGTTGTTTTAATGTTACTATGTATAAAATATGATTACACAATTTATACTTTCCTTATCGTATACTTCTCATTTTCACTTTATTTTCTCGTTTATACTTGATGAATACCGAAAGTGCATTGAATTTGAATTATTGAAAAATAAAATGTAAACTATTTCAGATTAATTTTGTAATATTTTTTACAGAAAAGAAAAATTGTAAAATACAATTTTACCAAGTTGATGTCAATTATGAAACATGTATCATAGTTGATTTGAAGGAAACTAATAATAATAGTTATTATTAGTAGTACTGTATGAATATCAATTAAGAATCAGTTTTCTATTGTTTTATACAATCCAATTTGTTATTTGACTTTATCTGTTCATTTATAAATTAAATACAGTTATCAAACTGTAGATTTAAATATAATGTCTGCATAAGAATTTTTCTTTTTATGTTTAATTATGAATATTAAATAAAGAACAATTGAACATAATTGAGGATTATGTAATACTTTAAAATGTAATCGATTTCAATTTAGGCATTTATTGATTGCTTACTTTATTAAATATGGTCAAATATCTTCACATTACCTCTCTTTATACGAGATTTATGTTTTAGTTATTTTTCTTTTCTTCTGTTCATATTATAAAAGTATTAAAATTGTTTTTATGTAAATCTCTTTGTCATCAAATCTAAATATTAACTAGCTAATTGTATTTCTAAAATTCATTTTTGTACATCATTTAAAAGTAAAGTTGTCATAAAAGGTCTAATTTTTTCATTGTAACATTCTCTTTTTTTTTATATTTTCCATATAAACACATTTTTATTTAGTGGATATGATTTAACTTTCTGGTTTGTGTTCTTTTTACGATTTAATTATTTCATAGTGTCGTTCAAATATCATTCGATGACTTTGATTTCGATTCTCGTAAGCCAAATAGTTTCCAATTTATTTTACATAGCAGTCCAAAACATATTTATTTCACTTTCAATCTGTTTGAACTATACAGTCACGACTTCGTACCAACAGAATATTGAGAATGCTTTGCGAAGTAGATTGATGCGGAGTACGTGATCATTATTAAGTTGAGTTGTATCGATAATATTTACATTCAAGGAGTGATTATATCTGAATAACCAACGAAAATCAGTCAGTTGTCTATTCTAGTATGAAATCTTTTTTGGCAATTCACACTAACTATTCCACTGCGGATCAAATAGCCCCCCCTTAGATGTTACAATTCGATCAATATAATAATTCACATTTTCAACTTACGTCGTTTCATGATATTGTACAAGCAAAATCCACGAATGTTGATGATATCCATCTTTATTCTTATCCTCTTTGAATGTCACTAATCACAACGGAAGTAGTTATTATTGACGTAAAACTGTTGAAACTAAGTTCTCAAAATTATATTACTTTACTCAATATTTTCTCCCCGATTAAAATATTAGAAATATACATATATAATATAGGTATAGTATGCCATTTTCATAAGAATTAATCTACTTAAAATATGAAAAGATGTTTTTAATTAAGTTGTAATAGTAATTCATGTTTCATTTTAGAAAAAAAATAATTAAATAAAAGATAATTTTCTTCAAATTTAAATAATCATTAAACAAGTTTATTTATTTAATATATTCCAATAATTTTAAACATTTTACTAGATATAAACATATTGAAAATATTGAACTAACAAACTTAAGTTAAGTCAAATTGATTTTTAAAAAAAAATTTAAATTAATGATTGAAACTTAGAATGAAACTAATCTGTACACACGTCGTTTATGTTCGATTGTTTTTGTTAAATTAAACAAAAAATCAATATAATCCTTCATTATTATTACCATTAACTTTAATTATTCAACAATAAGCTAGATAAAATTGATTATCCTTATATAACAAAGTGATTTTGTTGAAAATGATAAGTGGATATGATTAGACATTTTTGGAACCAGTTGATATTTGTTAGTTTAAACATGTTAAACGTGTATTTAGATTATTTTTTGTAATTTTGATGTTTTACGTCTTTTAAATAACTTTCCAAATCTCCATGAGAATTTTTCGCCTTGGTAATCTGTGCATGAATGTTAAAATTATCGATCTAGTGTCCAAAACTAATTGATAGGATAAAGATTTAAAAATTTTCATACACTTCAATAAAATAAAATCTTATTAACTTCTATTTTTTGTAACACTCCACTTCTTTCCCATCATTCAACATTCAACGTATCTTATAAGCTTAAGGAACTTGAATATTGTTATCTTTATATAAAATAGAGATGATGGATTCTCATACATGTGTTTTTTGGAAATCATAATCTTCACCGATGATCTTAGAGTTTTTATATCACATTTTAGTGTTTATTTATTGTGGAGTATAAATTTAAATTGCTTTATACACTGTTGATGTGTTTTTCAAGATTATTTCGATCATGAAATGAAAATTGAAAGAGAAACATTGTAAAACATAAACCATCACATATTTGGCACTTTCTGATGCAAAGCACTTCAGCTGCATAGGTAGTTGATCACATATATTGCGACAGAAATTCGAATATACTCGTCAAACTTTAACCAATGAGGAAGTAATTGACAGATTTCAAAGACAGTAACTGGTGTTATCCATCCTAGATCGACCCATGACAAAACTGATAAATCCTATGGAATAAGTTTGCCTTTTTTTTCTGACTATAACAATATGATGGTTCACAACTTTAGATTAAAGTTCATAGTTCATCAGTACTTAATCATTCATTAACGAATAGATTATCCAAAAACGTACAAGAACCTACTAAAGTTTCTGGACCTTATTTGTCAAAGAAGTACAACTGTAGTCATACTTTCAAAATAATTTATTATCATATATAGCTTCTGATTAAAAAAAGAATCACAATGTTCATTTTTAAAGTGACGAATGGTGCTTGTCAGTAATAATCTGACTGATAAAAAGTGAAGTAGTTGAACGTGTCGACCGCTTCACTTATCTAAGGAGTCTCATAAACCCTTGTGTCCTGGTGTGTGACGAAATCTCAGCATGGATACAGGAGACTCGGCTAGCTTTTGCCGAATTGTGCCATTAATGGCGTAGGCGAGATATCCGTCTATCAAACAAAGGACGTGTTTACTGCGCAGCAGTTCGTTTCGTCCTACTTTATGGCAGTGAAACATGGCCGGTAAGAGTAGAGGATATTCGTAGAGTACTAGTATTCGATCATAGGTATCTTCAAAACAGGGCTCGTATATCCTGGGACCATCGAGTAAGTAAGGATGACAAATCAATTGAAGTAGTGAAACTTAATCAGTTGAGATGGCTGGGACACGTGTTACGTATGCCCAACCACCGACTGCCCCAACCTGCGATGTTTTATGGTGTAGGAGTAGGTTGGAAGAGAGCTATAGGTGGCCAGACCAAAACATGGTACAAATCCATGAAGTCACTAACAAGTGGACTGAGCTCAAAATCGTTTGCAATGGCGCAGGTGCATCCACTCTTTGTGTTCTCCCACTTTCTAATTTTCTGAGTTCTTCATGTCCCTTTTTTCCTCTTTCCAACTTTGTTTCACTGGATTATACTCCTTAAATAACATCTTCGAACCCTAATATTTCTGATTACTGCTTATACTTTTACTACGTCTACTACTATGGGATTTGAATCAACAATTGTACTTCTGTGCTAATGTGGTATGACAACCCGAACTGATGCACGTACGTTCGAAGTTCTACTACATCACTGTCATGTTAAACGTACGCGGAGAACACTCAAATACGATATATACATACAATTGGCAGCTGTCATAAGTAACAATCAAGCTGGTCTATAACATCATTTCACGAAAGCAAGAAAATAAATGAACTTTAAGGAACTTTGCGGGCTGATCCACCATGATATATTGATTTGAGACATTAATGTTGAACATTTTTGTCTTCGGAATAGTTTGTGGGTTAGGTCAATATTTATTAGGGACGTAGTACTTGTTCTATCGAAGAGTATTAAAATGTGTTACATTCACTGTCGAATTAATATTCGATTGTGTAGTTAAAGTAAAATTGTAACATCATCACAGCTATGATAGAATGCATAATAATATTAATAAACATAATAAGAAAAAATTCATTAATAAGAGAAATTTCGAGAGGCCGTCTCACAAAATGTGTGTTTATTTGTATAATCTAATTAGAAGTTCATTTGATAATTTTAAGTTAAATGAATAAGAGAAAAAAGGTATTTAGAACAACCGATAGATAAAAACATTATTCTATGAACAATTGATAGAATTGTAGTTATCTTTGTATTGATGCAAAGAAACATTTTAAAATCAAAAATAACTTGTAATGTAAGTGCTTTTAAGTAAATGATAACATAACTAATACTTTCTTGGATCGTGTTTTATTGATTCAGATGGATGGCACTTTTCCCTGTACTTTTCTAAAGAATCTCTCACTGAACGATTACATGATTTTGAACAATCTTCACAAGTATTAGTCCAAGCTTAAAGAAAAAAAGAAGCAATATTTATAAGTTAATCAATAATCAGTTAAACGTGTTTAAAGAAAAAGAATACAGAAACGATAACTACATAATAGTCAATAAAATTGCTTTAGTTTCATTAGGGTATATGGTTTGTTACTAGTTAGACAAGTGACGATTGCCTCGATCGAATCAAGAGAAAATCGTAAAAGTTACACACTAGATAGGATTTTGTAAATTTTCTGTTTGTTAAATCACATTATCAATATATGCCATGAAAAATGTGTATACCAAAATAAATAAGTCTACATTACAATGTCTTTATTCATTTAAAGGCAAATCAGTAACTGACCATTTGAGCTCGATGTGATTGTTATCCACTGTCTATGCCTAATTTCCTAATTTATATTCAAATTTATTTAAGTGTTCTTGTCAAGATTTTATTTCCTACTTTTTGATATTTCAGAGAACCTTCATCAAACTTTAGAAGTAACAATTATTTTGGGAAGAGATATTGAAAATCTAAGATCCACAATTTGAAGGACTATCTAAAAACCTTTTGCTATTCAATTATTAAAAACGCTTGGTTAATAAATGTAATTAGGGATCATACTAATAAAACCAAAATATTTTATGTGATATGATATATGATTACAGAAGTTTCAAAATCTCTGTATTTTGGAATTGCAATAGACGGATTGATATAAATCACTTACAATGTTTTTAATTACGTATAACACCAAAATAAACTAGTTTACATCACTCTAAAGCAATTCATTTCTTTACTGAGCTTCTTACGGTTTTGAGAGTTTTTAATGCTGAAAATCTGCAAATTATTAACAATAACTGATGCTTTTGAATGATAGTACTCTGCCATCTTAACTTATCTTAAGTCTCAGATTATCATGATTTTGGCCTGAAATATATTACATTCACGAATAGACAGCTAATTATTATCAATAACTTTTTGCTGTTGTGATGTCAGTGTGATCTACGTGCCTAATGAGTGGTTTACACTTTTTCTTGTTATTCTCCATCAAAATGATCTAGTCAATTGAATTAAGCTTGAACAGATCTTCACACCCATCGCATAAGAATGATCAATAAAATGGGTGAGAATGACATATTTTTTATGGCTTTTATCTTGATCAGTCATCTGTATACGTCATCCGATAAATCTGACATTCCTGACTGAGCATTTTATGATATATGTGGTAAATGTAATTTCCCTGTGGTATATATTCAGTAATTTAACTATCATTTCTGACGTCAAAAATCTATTTAATTGAGGTTTAATGATCGGTTCCGTAAAAAAAAGTGATTGAGATGGTTATCTAGGTTCTCCAGTCAATTGTTGTGTTTTAACAACAGTCCATTTGTACATTAAAACCAAACTAACTGAGAGGCTTTACCCTATATTATACCCAATACTGAAATTAATTCCTCATTACACAGATTAATGAATTAGGTAACACAAAAATGTCTATAGTGACCAAAAGAAACATACTATAAAAGACATATTTATGCGGTTAGACATGAATACAAGGAAAAACACAAGAAGTATCTCACCTTGTTTAGATCTTGTTTTAGCTGTATGTGGTCCGGCCATATAACAATCTGCCGTAGTATTTCGTTGTAAGCCAGTATCTTTAGTCAATGAACTTGATTTTCTATTCGGTGAATGTGCATCGTTCATATGTGACAACATTGAATTATCATGAACAACTTGATGATGTGTAATTATTGTTTCTAAACGACTGATAATATCATAATTAGGTACTGTTAATAATTCTGTATCTAAACCAAGAAGACGACCAACAAGTGCTCTGAATTCCAGAAGCTATGATAGTAACAACAAAACATAATATTTTGAAAATATAATGAGAGGACGAAGTTGATAATAAATTGTGATGTGTTATCTCAATGAATTACAAATAAAACATTACCTGATCACATATACTTGTTTTAATAATATATTTTACTATCGAGAAGCTTGGCTTTCTGATCTTGGTGTCTTTATGAGCAAGTGATGCTAAATGATTCAAAAGTTATTTCGGGGAATCTCCCACTAACTATGATTGCATAGTACGATTACTGATTCTTATGTAAATATGTCCACGTGTACATGTGAACTGGTAAGTAGGCTGGGTTATAATTTTTAGGTTTATATGGAATCATAGACTTAGTCATCTCAATAACAAACAGTTTGGGGGAGTAACATTTATTTCGCGGGATTTTTTCAGCCTCCGTTTCAAAAGTACATTAGCTACTGACAATCATTTTTAAACTTTTAGGAAAATAACTGTTTTATGTTATGAATTCCTTAAAGCTGATTATTGATAATACAAAAGAGATCCTGAAAATTCAATGTCATGTGTGTTGCCTAATCTGATGAGAAGCTATGAAACGAAATTTGTCGTTTATTGAATGGATTACTTAAAATAAACTGAGACCTTAAGTAAATTTATGAATATTTACTGATTTCAATCTATATGGTTCACAAATCCACAAGGATTGATAATTTCGTTGCTCATATCATCATAGATTATAAATTTTTTGGACTCAATTTATGATATTCATAGTCCTACAGGGGTTAAAATCCATGATAATTATATCGATTAATGAGGTAATTAGAAGTTTTACCTAAAAATGCACTTGACGGCATTAAAATGGAGTTTGGTTCCATGAATGATACTGACACGTGGCAATTATTTAATAATAGTGTTTAGCTTCTAAAAAATCTTCCACGTTATTAAAAATAACTTAGTACAATCTTTTTAAAAGTTTTCTATAAATATATGACTTGATTGTTGAAAAGTATACGTAGGTGAAGTATATTTAACACAAATGACTTCAATATGTTATTCATATGCTTGAGAAGTTCCAAATCAATAATGCTGTGTATAATATTTCAAATCTTAGGCAAAACTAAACCACTATATGTAAAAACATGATCACTAATTTAAGCAAATTACTCAAATATTCAGTTCAAACATGAATATGAGACAAATTCGATTTCTTTTTACTATTCGAATAACTTGAAATTAGATACACAGAATTTGGAATTTTATTTAATAAATGATTTAAGTTCAGTTACGATTCACCGTTTACATATTTGATCTACTAAATAATTAATACCAAACTATTGTTACCTGGTCGGATCAACGAAATATAGATTGGTGAGTCTAACGTTATTGACCCTTTATCATGAATTAATTCAGACTAAACAATGACCACCATCTAATTATATCATAATAGTTTAACAGTGATTAAATAACTAAGTTTTCCTGGCTCCTGAGGTTTTTTCGACCATTTACTTGTTAGAATCAAAACAGTGTTTAATATTTTCTGGTCAAATAGTAACTTAGCGGTTAAGACATTGAACTATCAACCACTAGTTTTCAAGTTGCACCCTTGATCCACTTACTTCGATCTGGATAGCTGATCAGCATTATTAGTTTTCCCATAAAATATTTGACTCAAAAATGAGTACAAAAACTTGTGAATTTTAAATGAGTTAAATTACTTGCACTCTCTAGTCTACAATGTTTCTCTCAGAATTTAATTCATGGTCAAAGCCAAATCACCGCTCAAAATCATAACTTTTACATAGAAAAATAGCTACACTTACTTTTAAAAAAGTTTTCTTAAAATTGGATTAAGAAAAGTACATAAAATTGAAAATCTCGCACTACCTCTCTTTCAGAACGTTGAAGTTGTTCCATTGACTTTCTAGTTGATTGTAATTCATTCATTAAACATTTACATTCTTCTTCTAATCGACTACGGTTATCGCTATCCTCATTTGTTTGCAATTCCATTTTTTCTGTTAACTCAGCAATTTTAGTCGCTTGACTTTGACGTATACTTTCCAGTTCTCTGTTTTGTTTAGTTAGCTCGGCCAGTTGTTCTTCATACTTAACTACGCTAATCTAAATAAATGTAATTTGGAAACAGGAAAGTAAATATTTAAAAAGCGTGCTCTTTGTTTTTAAATCTTGATATTCCATTTTTCAATTTTACTTATATTAACATAAATTTAAAAGAAAAAAATTTACAGGGCAGTAGACAAACATTTTTGTTCTTTCTAAATAAACATATTTTAAAAAAAAGAGAACGATAATTAACTTAAAAATCTCTAAAATTAATCTAACTTGCAAAAGTATTCATAATTTAACATGCCATTCACAATCTATTAACCCATACCACTAAAAGTAATAGATAAAATTATACTGGATACTGTGATGTGTGCTACTTATACTGATATAAGTAGTATGTAACGTGAGTCAGAAATATAATGTCCGGCAGCAGAAGATTGAGATCAAGAAGAGAAGAACGGGAATAGAGAGCAATCGGTACGCAAATGCAGGAACAATAAAGATTGGGACATTTAATGAACATTCTGCAAATTAAGGATCAGAGTATAGTTTTCCCATTTCACCAAGTAACTCTGTAAAGTTGTGCTAAATATATTTCGGTTGTCCTCACCTGTGTTCTCCTTCAGTGCAAGTACCGTAAGTAATTATGATTTTGTTTACACACTTATAAAAGTAGATGAACTGTTACCATTTATATTATCATCTATCACGATTGTCAATACAATTTTATTTTCCATAACCAGTTTACTTGTATCAATCAAATGTGGAATGTATGTAAGCTGATTCTTTGATTAGAGATGACTTTGACAGTACCTAAAAATATTCAATTTGGCAAAATCTAGTTAACAAACTACAGGAGAATCTGCTATTACCATTTTAATGTTAGTTCAAAAAACATACTTCAATAAATTGCAAATGGTAAATAATGATGACACGATGAAATAGTTTACCATTACGACATAATGGGAAATTAGACTTAAATGTCAAAAAAATAGAAAGTTTTTAAGACATACATATAGAAGTAGATTTGTATGAACTACATATACATAAATATTATAAATTTTGACTATTAATGATAAGTTATATAATTGTAGTTTAGTCGGTGTTAATTTAAACGAATTTTCGAACTTGGAACAACTAAAAATGAAGCGAAAATCGGTCACTGAAGTAACCAGAAGGATTATTCACTATATACCTAATAAAACATTGAGACATTACATATATGTATACCTTTAAAACTGATGTTCATCATGGAGATCTAAATACCGCAAATTTTCTTTAAATTTCTTAAAAAAGATTATTTGGTTTGGCATGTATGTACGCAATGTATGGCACAAATTTAAGACTGAAGTAGCTAACACTGTATTTTGTTTTCACTATTTGATCTTAAATTCCCATTTCATCACTCGTTAATTAACAGTGACATTAAACAAAATGTCAAGGAAATGTTATTTTAAGAAAAAAAGCTAAAAACTCTTTACCTACACTATCATATGGGAATGAAGTATGAATGAATATGTGAAGTAAAATTGTGGTGTGAGCTACTTACGTTCACATAAGTAGTATATAACGATGGTCAGACATAGAATGTATTTATGTAGAAGATCAAGAGGGAAAGAACGGGAACGGAGAGTGATTTGTATGAAAATGCATGAACAATGAAATCTGAAACGATGGACTGAGATTTGCTAAAGGAACAGTCATGTTTGGGACAATTGATTAATATTTTGCAAATTAACTATTCACTGTATGGTTCTCAGATTTTAGTGAGATGTTTTGTAATTTTGTACTTAATTACATTCGGTTATTCCCACTCGTGTTCTTGTTTCAAAAATAAATCTCTAGATTGCTGAAGAGCTTAATCATAGTAGCCAAGGCAAGCAAACTCATGCCAGACGACAAAATAGTTCTTCACAAGGCAGCTACGGTTGGCCTACTAAACATTAATAATTAGTGCAAAACGGTAATCAACATGCTCGTATAAGAAATAGCGAAAATTTACAAATACACTCAATTAATTGATAAAGATCATATTACAAATCTACATAATATTATAGTGAAATCATTAATGCATTAATGGTGACAAACAACAAAATTAATAACAAAATATTATTTTCATTTAACTACTTACTTTAGCATCACTAAAATCTAATAGTTCCGCTTTTAAACGAGTTAATTCATCTTTTAATCTAGACACTTCTAATTCTGATCGTCTAGCATTGATGGCTGATTTTTCGGCTGCAATTTTATTTGCATGAGCTTTCATTTCAGTTTCAGATATACTGGACAATTGATCTTCTAATTTACTAGCTTTCTCTTTCCACAAACCTAATTGTATTTCTCTACTTGCGAGTTGATCTTGTAATCTTTTCACTTTACGATTTAAACCATTCATACGATCAGCATTAGCTTGAACATCACTTAACATAGTGTATTCACCTCTAATTATTTGTCCGATTCTTGCTGTAAACAAAACATTAAGAACCAATCAAAGTGATTTACTGAACATCTCTTTAATCGACTATCGAGAAATTGTTGATGAACTTGTGAAAAAAACGACCATTATCGGTAGTTGAAGGTGCTTTAAGCGCTTGACTATTCACCAAGTGTTATTCCTCATAAACTGATATTAGTGTGGGAAGTACCTTTAAGTTAGAGTAATGAGGCAAACAGTATAATTTTGAGTGCTTATACCAGTAGTAATCTGTATTCCATTGTAACTGATGCCTAAAACTACGACGCTTGAAGATTTTTATTTGTCTTTCGTTGTTCATATTCTTACTATAATTTATGGATCCATTCATTGATACAAAAATGTTACAGAATACTATTTTCCCAATTCATAACCACTTTGATCTTTTACAGTGCCGTTATTCAAGTTTATATTCCAACCACTCAGAGGTGTATAAATGTTGTAAACTAACGATTTCCACAGGTATCATTACCAAGATTTGATTTGATCATTTCGAATAAATTGAGCATTGGGTAGATTGTTGTAAATAAATAATACATTTGTAATATCCCAATGAGTAGAAAATCTAATTTTTCTACTCATTGGGATATTACATATATATCATATATTTATAACGATTTCCATGTTTCATTCAACTCGATAATTATTGGTATTGATACTATGTATTTCATTGAAATATGTGAAAATGAAGGATTATTGCATAATCTGCTGTTCAACAAATTAGAAGGAAATTTCTTGGTTTCGAAATAAAAAAAAGATTTTGGGTACTTTAAACAACTTTTGAGTAAACTTATAAGATAATCAACCTGTTGCAACCCACAGAAAACCATATATTCATAACTACATACTGCTGATTTAATGTACGATTTGTATACAGACTATTTCAAAACGTATTAAGTTCTATATATAACAAAAAACATAATAGTTAATACATTTTCGTTTATGATATACAACTCAGAAGTATAATAGATAGATTTTCATTTTTATTAAGAGTATGAATTGCTTAAAAACTCTTAATAAACTTTTTGCATTGATAATGGTTAGAATGAAATGTCTATAAAGAAATTTCTTTAAAGTGCTTCCAAAAACTTAGTAGTTTATTTCAACATTATTAACACCGTGTATTGAGATAATTTTAAAATTCCTAAGAAACATCTATTTCATTATAATTTTATTAACAATTAACTCACTCAAGAGAACTTCTTGTAATTCGTCAAATCTCATTCCTGAAGCAACTTTTTCATCTATTCTCACTTTCGCTGCAAGTTTACAGAGATACGAGAAAATCTGTCAACATATAAGGATAAAAATGTTATATTATTGATCAGAACACTGAAACTTTCGCACGTCAGACAAATTTAATTCAATTGCAAAAAAGAAAATACCGTGTATAATAAACTCCCACGTGTTATACAGTGAAAGAAACATCTTGTTTACATTTAATTTATAGTTGAAATCATGAATCAATTGAAGCTAGACCACCATGGAAAACCTGGAAGCACTGAACTTATAGTAATTTATAGTAAACTGTTCTATGGTTACTTTTTCTTCATAAGGAATGAGTATCTCTTCTCTATTATTCAAAACACAGCACTGATAATTATGTTTCATTAATATTCTTAACAGTTACTCCATTTCTTAAGACATTAACTGTTAAAGAGCATATAAATGATGTTCATGATATTTGAACAGTGAGATGCACAGGCTAAGATTGCGCCTTCCAGGACAAAGTCAGAAAGTAAATGGGTACATCAAATATCCAGGCAATAACTTAACTGTAAATAATACTATAAATTAATATATATCAGTAACAACTAGTGAAAATGAATCAAGCATCATAGTTCAAAATAAACAATTTTTCAGAATAAACAAATTTCGGTATGTAATACATGTAGTGTAAGTGGAAATTATATTAAAACTAAGAAAACGGGTGAAACTGCAGAATAAAAGTATAATTATTTAGTAATGGCAGTTAATTGTAGCAGATGAATAACATTCTTTACATGCTCTAAAATTGACTGAATATAATATATACTAATGTATTTCAATCAATAGTATAGTGTGGAGCACAAAAGTAGTAGCCAAAGGAAAATGTGAAAAACGCAACATTTCTAATTATACTTTTGTAAGTAACTAAAACATTTCCATAAATAAAATATATTAGTACCAATGCACTCTATTTAGAGGTTCCGTTGTTTCAACACAAACCTATAATGCATAAATAATGTAAAACCTAACGTACACGTCCAATTATTTGAGCTGCCACAACTCCCATAAGTAAAGTGAGTGATAAGTAACCCAATGGAGTGCGAAGAAGTTCAAAAAACCATATCAGTGGTAGTGGATAATTTGCCATTATCAAACCGACCAAATAAAATATACAGTAGTGTTTGAATCTAACTTATTGGAATCCACTAAATTTACAATTTATTTTAAATTTTTAAGTCAAAACATGATAGTATACTATTAAATAAGAAATATCACTGAAGTACAAAATTTAACGGAAGATTAAAAAAGTGGATGCATCCATACCACTGTGACTGATTTTAGGCCATATAACATGAGGTCTTCAACCTTAGATACCGGTAATCCTGTGAGCCGAAACTATATCACGTCACGGTCAGCATCACTATTCAGTGAATTCATGGACAGACAGAATTATTTGACTGACCCTCTCTTGTCAATTTTTCAACCCATTGCTATACTACGAAACATAGCAGACTGACAAAATTGGTGATTAAACACACAAAACACTTTCATCTGCCTTGAATATTAAAAGTTCCGATATGAATACGCTTATCTTCAGTCGTTAGTTGACTGATTATTGTTTTACGTGAATTTCTAAAGCTTAATAAATAGTAAAAGGTACATATGCCAGTCCATGATTTGTTTAAATTTTGAAAGAGTACTGAGGATTTTAATACCTTCAATAAAGTTCTCTTGGATGTAATGAACATTTCCTGAGATATTAGTTGTGATTATGAATACATTTATTCCCTGGAGCTTACTCGGTGAGAATTCAATCGAAAATTGTCTTCTTTGACTGAACTAGTTATATCAATTAAATGCTTACGAAAAAGCAAGCTAGATTGTGATATCTGTTGGAACCATAACAAACTAGCAACTTTCTTTTCAGACTAAAAAGCACTAGACTTAAGTTACTCATCAAACCAATGAGTATAACAGAGAATACATCGACCACGAGTATTTGACAAGACTAGAACAATATCAAGCATTAGTTCTATAACTATTCATTTTTGATATAAGTTCTAAAAAATTTTCAAACTGGAAAGTATTATTTTGCGCACAAATTACTTGATTTTACCAACCGGTTTTGCTTAGTAAATACTACATATTACTCGTAAGTAGCCAAAAAAATAATCAACATTTGTTTTTCCTACAACTCATCAGTGTTATACATGGATACTTACTTTTGATTTATCTGAGCGTTGTTCTTGCTTCACCAAATCAGAATTTATTAAATCTGTTTCTAGACGTCTGATCTGTTCACGCAGATCAAAACATTCCCGTTCTGTTTTCTCTAACATACGTTCCATTTCGTGTTTAGAAGCTTGTGAATGATCTAAACGTCTTAATGTGTCTGATAAACGAATTTCAAGTCTTGAATGCAACTGGATAATGGATAAAAATAATTAATCATAAGTTAAACCAAATAGTTAATCATCAGAGTTGTTTAAAAGTAACAGACTTAGTATGATGAGTTATCACGAAATGAGCTAAACAAATGGAAAAGTGTTGTAATGGAGAAAGTCAAATACTAATAATATAAATAGTTCAGATAAAAAACATCATTGAGGAAGATTTCATTTTAAACAAAGTAAAATTTATTTTTAACACGGCAGGCAAAAGAAAACTAAACATTATGGCCACTAATTGTACATTTAAGCTAGTACTTGTAGAATTGCCAGACCTATGAGTAAGATAGTCATTATGAAGGAAATTTTTGGTTGACTAGTGATTTAACACTATTATTCTATTGTCAAATGTTCGAAATTGACCATCATACTGTTTTTACGATTATTTTCAGTGTTAATAAACAATAATCGCTATGAAAGCAGCTTGAATGTCATGCATCAATCATGGTGAAACTATCGAAGCCTACGTTCTAGAATGATTTCCTTCGCTGTATGCAGGTCTCTATCAAGTTCAAATATAACCTTTCAGATTTTAACATAGCCCATATATCGTCTTCAGTTAGTATAAGCAGTTCTACAAAAGAAGATAAACCAATATACACCCGTCTAAAATTTGGATATAATCTTGACCTTGTATGAGCTACTGATGAACATCTTAATCACTTGGAGGAAAGCACAAACCGTACGAGAAGTCCTAATATTAAACGATAGTATTTACAACTCACTGAAAATGTACCACCCATCAAAATTACCTGAAATGTAAACAGATAAACATTTGGATTTGTCTAAGCAAGCAAGTCAGTTCACTGTTATACCTCAGTTTCATCAGTAAACTAGTAATGAGTCGTCATACAGCATTCGGGTATTGTGTAAATTTGATATGCTCCCTCTCTGATAAAATACTTTTAATACCTTATCTTGTGAATAATATATATATAAACCATGACGGTTTTTTCGATTATATGTACTTTATAGAGTTAGTACGACTCATGTTTTTAGCTGATCTCTTTCAGTTCAAATTTACTTCATATATTGAACCACACACTCACCTTGAGACAACATTCGGTATATTGAGAGAACCTTGGTGTAATATATTTTCTCACATTAAAGTAAAATTGACAACACTTTGACTAAGCCATTTTACTAGCTGTAGACTTTTCTTCCAAACACCACTTCTACCAAAGTATCATCAATCAATTGGGTTAAATAGGCAGAATTTTTAGTACCTCCACAGAAAACTTATGACTTTCTACGACTGTATTCCCTTTTTTTAGTTTCAGGCTATCCTGATTAAAGGTACTGGTAAACATTTAGCTAGCCATTTGGTATTAGACCTGTAAAGAGGAAATCTGTTATTTTATATATTACATAGAAATCCTCGGGGATATCTAACGGGAACACCTATTTATATAAAATATTCTTTCACACCATAAATGTTCTTGTACAGAAAATTTGGCTTCACATTAAAAACCAATTTCTAAATGAGTCAGTGATTAGGATGAAGTTGAGTTTGTTCATTTATCCTAAGTCCATTTGAACTTCTGATAATGGTTTAACTTCACTTTCACTATTTAACACGGACAAAGTGAAAACACTGCACTGTGATCTAATATGACGGAAACAAAATAGACCAGTTATTCTACCTTGAAAACCATACTGACCGATCGGTTATCTTTTAACACGGTCAACTCTAGTTTATCATATGACACAGTTGACTCCCTACATTCAGGTCGTTGAAGTCTATTTAAAAATTTATAACTTTAAAGCATTCGCACATATTTTATTTGAAACCAACAATTCTTTATTTATGATATGAAAGTTTAGTGATACTTTCAGCCAAACATCTGACAATATTTCAAGAAATTACTGGTCTTGGAACAGTCAGACTTACTGATCTTAAACGTAAAGGACGATAGTGAATTCCTGTATGAATATAATTGTTCATAATCTGTAATAATTAAAGATTACTTCATTCAACCTAACATTTTTATAATTCATTTCCTGTATTATAAAGACTTGTTGAAGGATTCAACATTATGGTAACCATTTCTATGAATAAATAAACTTTAAAACGTACTTTATTGAATATCAAAAAAGTTCAATATGAATCTACCCAATGTATAACTGATAATTTAATTATTGTTGTAATTTTTTAATATTAATTAGGTTTTTTTATCAAACCAAACACTTGATACAAATAACTTACATCTTTTTGTTCCTGTAATTCACTCATAAACTTTCTAATACTTTCTTTGATTGATGTTTCAGTTGGATTACATTGGAAATTATTATACGATAGCAATGAAGCCAATGAATTTCTAATTGAAGATTACATATACTGTGTTAATGAATCGATTTAAAACTATTATAAATTATAAATTCAGGTTTATACATACAATTATTCTTGATTTATAAATATTGATTACGGTAAATAAGTGTTTGTAGTTTCCGATTGTAAGCATTTCCAAGTATCAGACACTTGGTTCGAGTACTAAAGTGTTATGCCCCGATAAGCATAATGAATGCTAACTTTTGGGATCCATTTACGGACCAGTACTACGCTTATATTTTTACCATATAATAAACTATTCATATTCATGTCTCTCTTATTATGAACCTTACTTTGACCTATGAACCATTATTATACGACTTACCATTCTTGAACTATGCCCCGTCTATTAATTACTACCTCCCGCATTCACAGCCACGTTTGGCCAAGTCTTGTATAAATGTTGTTTCCCATTTTATTGGTACGATATGGTCTGTCTGGTTGGTATATAAACCTAGTATGCTTGAAATAAATAATTCATACCGCAGAGGCTGAGATTGGTGTTCTGGACTTAACTGGCTGAGCTAGGCAGGAAGCAGGACCGATAAGTACTATAGACTGCTCGTACGGTTTTTACGCGTCATTGGTCCGATTGATAATTCACTGCTCTCTAACTGGTGGTATTGTTACGTTATGCATTAACAGGGCACACAGGCTACAAGTTATAACACAAAGTGAATATCAACACAGAGACGAGTGCATCCAAATGTGCATTCTGCACTATAGTGTTGCTCATAACCCAAATATATGATATTTAAAAGAGTTGCGATATGGCATTATATTGGCAAGGAATATAATACCGTATTATAAACGCCAGCTACTAGCTGTAGTGGATGACGGTGTTGATGTTTCAAACGAAAAGATATAAGGATAATAGTCAAATGACAATTATCTATTTTCAGTTTACCACTTAATAAACCATAGAATTTTACGCGCTTCATTGGTGCTAGATATACTGCAGCTAAGTGTCTTACGGAAATGATCCTACAAACCTAAAATTTTGACTGCCAGCATAATGCAATTTAATATAAAGATCAAAACATGTTCATCACATATTGGTTTCCAACTATTCTCTAGCTTGATGTCAGTCTATGATAAAAAAAACTGTAGATATTGTTTATTTCACGATGTCAGATGACTTATTCTAAAAAACAACATAATTACAGTATATAATATTCATTACTTTTTATACAATTAACATTTAACATTTCAAAATAAATGATTTAATCAAATCTCAGTGGAAGATCAGTATCAATAAAAGTCAATCAAATATTTTTTAGAACAAACTAGTAACTATAAATACACAAAAGATTAACAAACCGAAATAATAAATTATCTTCTTCATAATTATTTTGATTACTCCAATGATGTTTCTCGTTTTTACTCATTGTATCTTGCAATTGTTTATCTAATTCTCTTATATGTAGCTGAGAATCAATTAATTCTTTAGTCATTACACGAATTCGTTCTTCTAAAGCTTTTTCATTACGTCGAATATAATCTAATTCCTATTAAAATTATATTTGAATGAAGAAAAATATAATCAGTTGGTTAATTACTGAAAAGTGAAGAGCTTATGTCATGTTTTCTAATCCTTTAATGCTGATCAAATCCTACCCGTTAAGTTACAATATGGTTACTGGTCAAAGTAACTCAACACTACCCACATCATTTGTTATTAAGTGCTTATATATAGTCTTCGGAATACCTTACACCTATTTATGTTGTGCTATTCAGCACTCGTTAACGAGGTGTGCCAGTAATCTGGAAAACTGGTTTTCGGATATCTTAAGTATCTTAAATCAAAAGTTACTAGTCTACCATTCAATTAACATGTAGTAAGCCCATTCGACTACTGTATTATTTATCTGCTCACTGTAATTTAGACACTTAATCCACTATGTACATTTCTGTGTGTGTATGATTGAGCACATGTCTGCACATCAATTTTCAATCTATTCTCCCACTGGTTGTATTACACAGACAATCAATAATACATCCATACTTGATTAACATTCAGAAATGTATATGGATTCCTAACACTCACACACACACTCTTGGTTTCACTGTGTGCTTGCTTCCTGTACGCTTGCGGATTTTACCAATCTTTAACAATAAACTGTCTCTATAACTGGTGTTCAGGCTTTTGAATAATCTCGAGTAAATCCATAATTCTACTAGATTTAACCCGCATTAAACACTCAGTTAATGGGATACTATTAATAGGAGTCAGATATAGGGGAAATTAGTCTCTACAAACACATAAAATGAATGAAATCTTCCAAGTAGTAAAAAGTTCATCTTCTTCAGTACTTTTACAGTAGTAAAAATATGATTAGTTTTTCGACTGAATTCACTAATCTTGTTAGGATATAAAATTATTATTATTACCATAGTAATAATAATAACAATAATAATAATAATTCATCGGCAATAACAACAAAGATTTTATTTAAATTGATAAATTAATACCTGATTTAGTTTTCTGTTTTCTTGTTCATAACAATCGTTCTTAGTTAATAATTCACCTAAACGATTCATGCTACATTTTTGATCAGCATTTTCATTTTCATGTTGTTTTAATCGATCTAATAAATCTTGAATATGTCCTTTATTTTTTAAATTTTCATTAACGACATCTTTGGCCTATTTATTTGAACGGAAACGGATCAAAATAAAGAGAATACAGCAAAATGAAGTAAATAAACTAAATTACTATACGGAAGTTAAAAAGTATCGATGTTTTAATAGCATTTTGAATTTTACAAATAAAAAGTTCCATTTCAGCTGTGATATTCTAGAACTAATATAAAAAATCTGTCGAAGCAATACACTTGCTTGGAGCTACATTTAGATTTAATTATTCTTCTTTGTTTTGAATAACTTCCAGACAGTGTCAGTCCTTCATAATACCGGTGTTCAAGTATTAGTGAGACTAAACAATGTTAATACACAATAGTTAGAATGAAAGGGAAATGTTAGTGAAAAGGTTGTTAAGTTTGGGAGAATATATTTGAGCTACTTAATAGTAGTATACTTCCGGCGGTATTTCTAACCACTCTACTACGTTCAAAGATTATATGAAAATGGGATGTTGTAAAAAACATACTTCACAAGTAGGGTTTGTTTAAGACTTTTTGTATATATTCTAACGAGATAGGCGAGGGAAATTAAAAATGATTTGAGAAACGATAAGTGACACTCTTTGTGCATTCTCAGTCACATTAGTTTACAAATGTTCATCAACTTATCTAACCGTACTTCTAGGAACAGTATTAATCGATGGTTTCCAAATGTGCAACGAATATCTACCAAGTACCTTTGATCAAATACTACTTTACTAAACCACAAACAATGTAATAAACATTCCGAGTGGAAGTACACAGTGAAGTGCCGTACAGTATATCCGTCTTTTTGGTAGACAGAAAGCTCTATGACCGGCGCCTTGTGTGGCGCAAGTTATTAAACGTTAATTGGATTCCTAATGAACAAAATAGCACCTTTATGAGCATATGAATGACAGAAATGAGTGAAAATTGAGAGAAAAGCTATTTTTGATAGACAAAATGTGACATACCAAAAATATTTGACAGCTGACTACTACTATCTCGGACACAGTTAATAGTATTGGATCAGAGAGCATCCGTTAATTCTAATTACATCTTTGTTACACCGGTCAGACACTGCCACAAAACCTCTTAGCTAACAGAGTTAACTATCACATTCAGGTTGTTTACACATGCTTTTAAGTAGTTTCTCAAACACCATCAGTTTACGGTACAAAATACTTTCATTTGATAAAATGTAAATTTAAACAAGCTAGTTGGATCACTAAATATGAATGTCTTATACACTAATAGAAATCTCCTTAGTTGAATCACACTTTTTATAGTTTAAATAAGATACGATATAAGTGGTAAAGTTGGCAATAAATCCTCATAACCATCAGATTAACAAATTAAAACAAAATAAAGAAAATTTACTTTAACTATTAAATCTTCTAAATTTTTTTCATCCTTCCAATCAATAAGTAAATGTTCATCATTTTGTAAAAATATATCAAATATATGAATCATTTTTGTAATGAAATTTTCTAAACGTTTTTCATTTTGTTCAAGTTGATAATCAGATTTTTCTTTCTCTTCTATCTGTTTACTAAATATCAATAAAATGAAATGTTTACAAGAAGAAATTATTAAATAAATTGTTTAATCACAACAGGTAAACTAACTAGACTAAGTAGACTAAGTTTGTACTGATGATGTTGTTCAGAAGAACTTTGAAAGCACCACAACCAAACCATTCAGCTCAGAGAAGAAAACTCCATCAAAAGTAAGCAGTTGAGCAACTAAAGTTTATATAATTTGAGCAGATCATTTAAGTTAAATAATGTAGATTTATAATATTTTAATCTACACAAAATTCTACATGTATTTATGAAGTTATTTTTTGGAAAATTTTTGCCGTAATTGTTATTTATTGGGTTCTGTTTTCTTTTTTCCGGTGATGAGTTTTCAGAATTTTCTAAGTCAGATAAAATATATATTCTTCAATGTATTTTTTGTTTTATTTTGTTGATTTAACTGCGATATTCTTGTTTTTTTATCTAAACAAGTTAAATTATTTACGGGTTTTATTTAATGCATTTTATTTGATTAACATGTGTTTTAGTTAGATGGTACTAAGAGGTTTATCTTTACCTTAATTAAATGATAAACAAAGATGAATTAAACTGCCACCACATACTATAATACATATTTGTAAGCAGAGTAACTTAGATTTACAAATAATTATATTGATATACACATGGGACTATTTTGATTAGGTTTTATTTCATAGTAGATAATGTGACAGAGACGTCAGTTAGCATGATATGACATTGATAAAAATTAACAAAGTTGAGCATTGATATTTCGATCTGATAGTCAACCAGGCAGAAGTTTTCCTACCTTAACTTTATTGATCACATTACTACAAAACCTATATAATAGTTTGCTTACATGTCAAATTGCACAACCCAAACTAGCTAACCATTATACCTGCTGTAATTTTAGGTTGGTTAAGACTATATGCAAAGAAAATTATTTTGTTCAATAATAGTTTTTCGCAATCCTAGAACATTTATTATTACAATATTTCTGAAATTCCAAAAAAACATAATATTCCAGTCGCAAAACGGTTTTGTTTTTCCGTTCATCATGTATTATTATTTTAGTGGCTTTATTCAATATTATATTTTTGGTACGATACAGAATTCTCAGCACAAAGTATTTCAACAAGTTTCTTTTCTGATTTCTTGATCGAAACTAAAGTTAAATATTGAGTAGTCGCCAGTTAAATGTTAGCAGTTCATGAATCGATGTCTGAATAATGTATATTCTTTTTGATGCATATAGCCAGTAACTACGATGTCTCAGATTGAGCTCTTTTGTAACTTGTATAGCGAAATATCGTAAACTTTTCATGAACTCATCTGAATCGGTTATGAGACTAATAGGAATGATGATGTTATGAAACAAACAAGAAAACAAATAACTTATAGAAATATCCAGATGACAGGAACAAGTAGCCCAGATATTCAAGCAGGCCGCCTTATGTAGAATACAGCTTGTTTGTTGCTATTCTATCAGAACATTCCGTCACACCCTTTTATGTTTTTTTGCACCAATAAGTAATTATTTTAATATTTTCACCATTTTCTTCTGTTAGTTCTACATTTCGCAACTATCAACCTCAACTCAATAAACATAGAAGAAATATAACTAAAATGTAACCAATATTCATTGTTTAGAAAAAAATCTTTCATACAAATATCTATTTAATTGGATAAAATTATAACTTACTTCAAACGTTTTTTCAATTCATCTATCTTATCTTGTTCACTTTTCAATAATTGATTTAATTCATTCAATTTTTTATTGCATATTTCATATTCAGTAATTTTCGTATTAATGCATGTTGTATAATCATTTAACTGTTTTTTTAACTTTTCATTTTCAGATATTAATTCATTGTTTTTGTGAGTTAATTTAATAATATCTGTTTCCGCTTTAGTTAACAATGTTGATTTTGCTTTTAATTCACTTTCTTGACTTAATGTCTGTAAATTTAAAATAAAGTATTCGATATTTCAGCCATTTTACACTGAAAATTGAATGTTTTATTTATTTTAAAGAGTTAAACTCAGCTTTTTTTATAGTTGAATGTTAAGAATCATGGATAATATGAATCATAGTTATACCCAAGAGTGTAGATGAATTAATCCCATATGATCATCTGAATTATAAATATTGTAGCAAATTGCAGCAGATTTAACAGTTTGGAAAGTGATAGTAGAGGTAAACCTTAACTTTTTAACCTTTTTCTCATATAAATTTTCATCAAATTACTGAAGCACAAAAAGTGATACTTCTTTTGTCCAAACAAAATTGTTACCAATTTTGGGTAGATTCTGCCTTTTCTGTCCTAGCAGGCTTTATTACGATTCTCATTTATTTAGTAGATTATAATGGGGTCATTAAAAACCAGGCGATATTGAATAGACATCTCATCTTAGTTTGAAGCTTTTATCATGAAGTTGGTTGAGTTAACTTTTCAATTTCGAAATAACTACAAACAATGTAGAGTGACTATCATCTGATAAAATTACAAACGATAATAGCTGGGTTGTAGGTGTTCAGATGATCACTATGAAAACAGATCTTCTGACAAAAGTATGTTTTATGCTATAGAATCCACTTCTATTTTCTATATTTATAATAATAAGTTGCCTAACAGTATTTCTCTTACATTTGACTTAATACTCCTCGATAGACAAGTACTGGATTGATTCCCCTTGAATATGATTTTTTATGAACAAATAACTGCATTATTTTACTGAACATGTTTTAACTATTATGACTAATTGACTTGGTATTATAAATCGGCCCTATAGCTATGGATTGTCATTTATTGAAACAAGTCGTAATATTCTGTTTTGTGATCAATTGTTATTCGGTTGTATTATATAAATTTGTAGCATAACCAATCAAAATTCTATAGATCATTACAGTAATTCAAGTTGTAGTCATAATTCATAGCATTAAAGATGCCACAGGTATTCAGAGTTTGACAACGCTTTAACCAGTAACACCTTCTAATATGAAGCGTACCCACCAAGTGAAATCAAAAGACAGAAGCGAGGAGGTTCGAAGATATATTTGATAGGCTATCAATATATCGAGGATCGTCTGATCTAATTTGGCTAACGATTGCAGTAGGTGTTGAGCACTGCGTTCCAACTTGTGATCTGTTGCAAATGCATGACCAAACGCCTTCAGCTAGATGAGTCCATTAAAACTAATGTGGTCAGCATCCAATGTCGAAAACTTACAGAGCTATTTATTTTGAGGATTTATTTACCGCTACAGTATGAATATTAACTTTGTACTGAAAAAATCTGTTTCATATAGTTCATGCTCAACTATAAAGCATACCTGTAGTGTCTTTCATTATGTTAAGCCCAAATACCTCATTATTCTAACTTTCGGACAGCCCATTCTATTCATTCTATTTGAGTCACATTCTGACCTTGTTAATTATTTGCTTATCAATATCTTGATCGTCTTTATATGGGCGCGTAGGTGTATGTACACTTCTTATCCCATTATTCATCACATGTCTGTAATTATTTTTGTGTGCTTATAAATATTGATTAACACTTGGTTAACAGGGCGTTGGCTTACCAGCCATCTCCATCGCGCGCCAATTTAGCTTCGCTTTCTCATCTTCGCATCGTTCCTCTGTTCGTTTGTCTAATCAACAATTATACAAAATATATGCATTCAAAACCCCGTTCTCGTTATTTGACTTATTTAATTCTGTTATTAACTAACGCAATTTAAGTCAATGATTATATACGAAGATAAGCGATAGCAATCATTCATACGATCGAATTGGAGTCAGATCTCGGGCCACTAAATACCATTGATAATTAAAAATAATTTACTTTTTCACATAATTGTCCAACCTTGCTTCGTAACGTTGCAAGTTCTTCACGTTTTATAATTGCCTGTTGATACTGTTCATGTTCAGTACTATTACTATGATCAGTAAGTTTCTGTTCAGTAGATTTAACTTGATCGATATCCATACTAAAGGAATTAGAAAATTAACACAAATTAAAATATCGAATAATTATTTACCTGGATAATTTTTGAATTAACTCATCCTTTTTAAGGATTTCATCTTCGTACACTTTAATCTTTCCTTCTAACTAATAAGTCAATAAGTAAAGAAATTGTTTTACTAATAAGCTACTATAATATTAAAATTATAAATTTTAAACAAGTAGAACTTTACCATCTTTTCTAATTCATTTAACAGAGTAATACTACTTTACATTTTAAAATATACTTAATCGCTTACTTACTCTTGAATCTCGCTGACTAGCTTACCTTCTTCGTGCTTGACCGGTCTCTCTGGCTCACTATATTTCCCTACCAGATTCTTCGTCGCATCACATAGTTATTTCATATTTCCTTCTCATGCAACTCTCTCCGCTGTCATTGCTAGGTCTTCCACATACTTCTGCTTGTCAAATGGAACGCTCCCCTTCACCTGCTTGATTGCTTCTGTGTATTCAGCTTGTGCATTGACTTGCTCCATTCTCGTTCAGCTGTTGTCAACCACTGTCTTCTTCTTCTTCCTTTCTTCAATCCTGTTCAGGGTTTCCACAGAAATCCATTCCTCATGATGATGCTTCTTGTAACCCAGAACCTCTTGACACATTGTAGTTGGTGCCTCTTGGATTCCTTTCCAGTTGTCCTTCATGGTAGTTTCTTCGTCTTGTAAGGCTTGCAACCTGTTGTTGAGAGTCATCTTGAATTCGTTGAGTTCGTCAGTATCTCGAAAAAGATTTTACCGACCCTTTCTCATGTTGTTTGTCCAGTGGTCCAGTGCTTATTTAGCTTCAGCTTCACCCTGGCAACCACCAGCTAGTGGTGATCTCAAGCTATGTCAGCTACTCTCCTGGTTCACACGTTTTCTTGACCATCTGAATTTTTTAGTGATGTAAATATGATAGATCTGGTTCTATGCAGTGTGATACGATGAAACATTTGTAGCTTTGTGCATGCGTTTGTTAGACAATATTTTGCCGCCTATAACCACTTTGTTGAACGCACATAAATTTGTAAATCCCTCATCATTCTCATTCCTTTCGTTCCTTTCTCCCAGTCGGTTCATGTCGTCCCATGATATCTTCGTATCCGGTGTTATCCATTCCATGGTTGGAGTTTAAATCTCCCATCAGAATGGTCCGGTCGTTTCCCTGGTACTTCACTGTGACCAATTACAGCCTTTCGTAAAACTGAGATTTATCGTCCTAATTTCTATCATTAGTGGGTGCATAACACTGGATAATATTCACTATGGTTCCCTCTTTGTTTGTTTTAAAGAATGCTTTGGCGATTTTGGGCGATATTTGAGCGACGTTAAAGTGTTCTTGTAGATGTCCACCAACTAACTAGTACTAAATGAGTTTTAAAGCAGTGTTAAGAATTAGAATTATGATTTACAGTTGGTGGTCAGAGTCAGGAATTAGATTTAGGGTTTTCATTATGAAATGACATCAACTAATATACCAAAATGTTACTCAACCAAATGGATGAATGAATTTCTCACCAAACTTTAAGGCCTCTTATTCTAAATCTTATTGATTCGTCCATGAATTGTAGTCTCGTCATCATATGATTAGTACAAAAACACTCGCTATGATTTTGTTGGTACATGTATTATTTTTAACGTATTTAGTACCAACAACTAATCACCAACAGTATTCACTTTCTTAACTGACACCAAACTTTAGGGAAAATTTTACCTATTTTGGGGAAATGGCACAAAAACCTCAAAATTTCCCCAGAGTTGGGAGCTTGGGATCTATCGGAATTAAAATTCGATGATTGATCGTCTAAGGTGATTTACTAACAGGAGCTGCAATTATACAGCTTGCGAGGATAGGTAGAATAAACGACTTAACACCGTATTACGAACCACAAAATAAAGTACTTAACAAGTTATTTCGAATCAATAGATTCGGTTGGTATACCAACGATCACAAAATTATGTCAAAATAAGTGGAATTATAAGTGACTTATTTATTTGGTCAATAGACATGTTTTTAATTTATATATTTGCATATATATAAATGAATAATTGAATGAAAATTTGCGACTGACTACATCAAATTGATTTAACTGCAATAACTGACAACAAAAATCACTAAGTTTTATGCATGCTGCCTCCTAAAAATTGAAATCATTATCATATAGGCATAATTTTTTCTATATATATGAACCAACTGTTAACTTCCTACATTATTTTCTATCATTTAAACACTAAGAACCTAGGCATAATACCAGCATATAGAGATAGGGAAAATTGTTCATTGGAGTCCATTGTCGCTTTTAATACAGTTATAACTTGAGAAGTCATGAAAATATTCACATCGAAGTCCTGAAAATTTGCATCTTCCTAAAACAGCTTCCAAAGTGATGAAAAATATTCTCTAAAGTGTTTCTGGCATTCTGAAGTACATTGGACAATTTTATACTTTGAAAGCTAAGTATGAGTTCACAACTATAAGTTATTCTGCCAAAAGTTGAAACAACGAAAAATAGATGTAATGAAGTTGCAGGTCATACTTACTTCCTTTACTTTCTCACTATTTTCCATAATCAGTTAGAGTGAGCGCCATATAAACACTTGAGTTTCCATGTTTCTAGACACATAAACAAATCAGAAGTTGTGCGACTGTTTGTAATAGAATTTACTTTTCAAAACGCTAAAAACCTTACAGTTTAATACTTTAACGATAGAAATGAATTTTAGAGCTTGTATTCTTTACATAACGGGATTAGTGAAGTTCTCGCTTTTGATAATAGCTAGGTCTAAACCATTTAATTAACTTACATGGCTTAAATTCATTGTGATTGGAACATCAGGAGTTTTTCGCATGACACATTCTGTAACCGGTAGTATAGATCTGTAGTGGTATTGGATCCTAACCACACGGTCTTTGAAGCTGGACACAAAATTACTAAGAAGATTCGCTTTCATATTATAACACTGAGTGATCATTAGCAATGATGAACCCAGAAACATTCATTCAGTTGGATGACAGTGTTTAATCTTGCAGACGTAGTCATTGTGTGGAGCTTATTACTATTTACATTAAGCATATTGTTCTATCCCCAACTTAAATGTGTTCTTCAGAAATACGAAGTATCATTTTGTCAGTTGTCACGAACGATGAGTCGGTGTAGGCAATAATATGACTTCCACATAAGATTAGGCTGACAGCATTGTGCAGCATCATATCACCTATAATTGCGGCACATAAGCTCTGTCCATTTCATATCTCAGATGTTTATAAACCATACAAGTGTATGCAGGTCACAAATTCAGCCAATGTTTGCATTTTACTTCTTTCGCTCGACTTTACAGTAAGGACCTAGGCATACGAATAAAAAAGCTCGAATGAATAAATTTCTGACAAACCATCATAGGATTCTCTGTTGAATTCTTAAGAAAATATAAAGCCGTTTCCTTTTTCCAAGGAAGTTTCTTGAACAACATTAGATGGTAAGAAGTAATAGGACATCTCTTCCCTTGAAGAGTGGTAGTCATATTCACAGTTTGACCTCCTACACTAGACATCTAACCCTAAGGTTTTACACCTGAAATCAAAAACGTACTTACACGTTTTAGATTATCTTCAGAGAATTCTACAGTGTCGTAATCCATTATTAAACCAACCCCGAGTCTCTTGTAGTTGTATATATTCACCCAAGGTCAGTAGCTTTGTCAGATTTCCGTACCGATCTTGCTGAACACGCCGCTAGCTGAAGGCTCTTAGTCGGACATACAAATTAGATCACATTTAAATGTGTCATAGGACTTATCTACTCTGGTAACAAGCTAGCTTAAAAGTTATTCGTTATGGTATATGTGTTTACTATAAAGGTTTTTTGAAATGAAGCTTCAAGTTTGTTAGCCCAACACTCAACACCTAATTTCAGACCCCAGTGGATTATTAACTTTCAACGTTGTTCTTTTAGCGATACTTCGAATCGAGATCCATCCATGTGAAGTGACTTCCCATGTAACTTGCTAGAACAAACACTCCCAATAGGCAACAGCATTTGTTAGTATCAACACGTTACACAAATTCGATATGGAACTGCTACCGTATGAGCCTGTTCATGACACTAAATTGATTTTTGCGTGTTGATTGCGTTTGATAATAACGAGGATCAGTAAATTGATTGACATTCACTGCCCAATGGATGATTTGGCTACGGCCCGGTTACCTTCCATTAGCCCTACAATCATTAAGAAGTACATTCAAGGTGAAGATTGTTTACAAATTCCATAACGAGCGATGGCCTCAGCACTTAGTTCTGAGAACCCCCCCCCAAATCCTTCTTTGTCCTTGGAAGATAAATCATTTCCTTAGACAGCTGCAAACAGAGCTGCAGGCAAAGACTCTAGACCTTCAGAGTGTACTGAAAGAAGAACCACTGACTGGTAGGATAAATGCTCTGACTTCCTTTGTGTATTGAAGTAATGCAACAACCTCGAACTTTCTAGGTCTAAATACTGGATGGAGAAATTGGGCACCACACAAATTCGTCAAGATGGTAGACTATTGAGCGTGCAGTCAGTGTGAAACTGAGTATAAACCAACTAACAGACCAACCCCACCCATTACTTCTGTTTTATTACTACTGAAATAAAAATGTGCTTTTCGTTTGTTTGCTCATTGACTATTCTTTTAAAGGAATACTTATGCTCCCCATTATTCCACAAGGTGATTATCAATTGGATGTAATGTGTTTGAAAGCGTTTGGGCCTTAGATGTCTAATTACCTGGGATGCCTAGTTATCACCAGAGATTTTCAATGGATGAGGGACGGTCTGATTGCCTGTGGTCTACAACCTACAAAGTTGGTCGTCAACTGTTCAATCACATCATTAGCACTAACCTAACTTATATATAACGATATCCTGGTAAATTAAATTTAACATGGCAGAAATACGCAGATTGCAGTGATTGAGCCTATCGAGGCTTCGGTAGAAGATTGGATACAGACTGAGTAGCAGGTGAAGTGGATTCGCAAGATTAGAAAAGTTACCGCGGTTCGCTTAGTTCACAACATTTACAAATATACGGTAACGACAAATAAAAAACCACATAGTGGCGAATCAGTAAAAATTTTTGAGTTCTTCTTCCTGAATGCAAAACATTTGGTAAAACGTTTTCCTAGAAAGCTCTTAAATATATTCGTTGTCAGCGTTAGGTTATAAGGGGTAAAGTTTCTTCAAAAAATATACAACCAGTTTGAAGGAAAGCAACCAACAGACGTTATCAAGTATCATCAAACTAGTAGATCATTCGGTGAAATTAAAAAACTTTCCTGGTCTACTCTTAAATAAACGTAATGGGGCACATTTCAAGTTGCTAATCTTTCTGCATGATATGAATGTAAAAATTGAAAGATCAAATATGAGGTAATGTAATGGCATTGGGCTCTAGCCACACAATCCTCAAAGCTGAACACGAGACAACTGGGAAAATAGATATTCAATATTTAACTCGGAAAAAAATCCAACGATGGAGAAAGTGGGAAGAATAGATTCCACTTTGCAGGTGTAACCCTACTTATGTAACATTCTTTTATCTACATTGAATATATTGTTCCACCTCCAGCCCAAATGAGCTCTACATCACATGTCGATAATTGTTACAATACGAATGAGTCAGGGTAGATATTGACATGACATCCATGTAGGATCTTATGCATAAGGCAGTTACATCATGACAAATGTACAATTTTAGGATTAGGTCTATTATTAGAGCAGTACTAATATCGCAGTAGGCCATAATTCTACGGTAATATTAAGTCAGATCTGAAACTTTCATGACCTAACTTATTCAAGATTAAAAAATTAAACTAGGTAGTGGAGCTCTCGAATCGAATAATAATTGCTACGAATTTCAATAACCTTCGACTACCTTTATTTTCTGTCTGAAATCGGAAAGCACTAATCGTAAATCGGTGACGAAGTGTTTGAAAGAAAAGATATCAGAGGGTAGACCACAATGCGAAATAGATCAAAACCAAGGTCGAAGAAAGATAAGATATCAGTTCAAAACAGTCTTTACCCACATACATCGCCAACCCTTATGCTTCTGTATTTATTTGAATTTATAATTTCTAGTGGTCGATATTTCGACAAACCAATTTCACTGGTGCATGTGAATGTTACCAAAATTTTTTGATGAACCATAATAGCTGAGCATAACTATGGTTGCTAAGTCATTTGTATCCATCGAGTCGGTAAGCTCAATCTGAATAACAATCCCTGCTACAATACGACAATGGATTAAAAAGTGAGAATAAATACATGCGATCGTAATAAAATATGAGGATACATAACAGATCGCATTTCCTTAGTTGAGCCCATAATCGTAGGATTTAGGTTTTCGTGCCTGTAGGTAACCCTCGTGCTATTGATAGAAGAAACCAGACTAGTAGTGAATAAGTCTTTATTTTTATCTTTGCGCAGTCACAGCGGAGCATGAAATTATCTGTTCAGACAAACAAAACTCCTCAACATCCAATATAAGACAATAGGAAATATAATGCTTATGCAAAATAAGGAGATGAGTGAATACTTGAACTCTACTGTTTTGACATATGCTTTGTTGTTTGAGGTCAACTCTTAACCAATTAACCTAAGCTGTTACAAGGTCACAGGTTGGCATCGGTGTACAAATCTGTGGTACTAGAGTAATAAACCAAATCTAGTAATGTGAACCTGGAGCGATATGACTGCCCAATCTACATTACCTTACTTTGAAGTCAAGTTGTACTTTTATGTTGACTTGCTCAATCATAGTTGTTAGTGTAAGGCTTCGTAAGAACCTTTGAAGAATAAATATGATCTTAGCAGTAAAATATATTTGGTAGAAAGACTAATGATATATATAACTATTGCTCTTGTATGGTCGAATCATCCCACCTTATCAGTCTTCTCACGAAGGCCATTATTAACCCTCACTATTTTTCAGTTGTCAAAGTCCAGAAGAAAAACTTACGTGGTAAGGTACATCCGGTTTACACTAACATGTAGTTAGCCCTCAATGTTATTCCTCTAACGCTATTGGTTATTCCTCGAAAAACATCCGTTTTTCGTACATAACTCAACATTAAGGAATACAAATATGACATTCAGATTAAATGAAGAGTTACACATTCACAAACACGTATTTTATCGTAATTACAGTATAAATTGCCTCACTCTGCAGCCAAACCGACTAACGTTGAGTGTTATATATCAATGCAGATCTACAGGGTCCTTCGGAAACGACACGGAAAGCCATGCCATTTCGTTCTATAATTGCAATAATAATATAACTAGTAGCGTATCAGTGAAACTGTCTGGGACTTTCCAAACACTTGAAGATGCCACAGGTATTCAGAGTTTGACAACGCTTTAACCAGTAACACCTTCTAATATGAAGCGTACCCACCAAGTGAAATCAAAAGACAGAAGCGAGGAGGTTCGAAGATATATTTGATAGGCTATCAATATATCGAGGATCGTCTGATCTAATTTGGCTAACGATTGCAGTAGGTGTTGAGCACTGCGTTCCAACTTGTGATCTGTTGCAAATGCAT